ACCCACTTTTCCATTGCTCTTCTCCCTCACTCTCGCCATCTCCCCCGCACATTTTTTTTGTACTAAGCTCGAACTCCGCTATCGCTCGCTTCGTTCTGACCGCAGATTCGGGGTCGCAGGCCCCCAAAACCCCAAGCTTACTTCTTTCCTCGCCCGATTCTACCAAGAATCGGGTGAGATATCGGTCCTTCTCTCCCCAAACTTTCCTTCCTCCACCATATCCACGCACGACTTTCTCTACTAACTTCTCGAACAACTAACTATCTTTTAGATTCGACTTCAGATCTGGATGCGTCTACCCGTAAAACCCCTACCTACACCCTTTCCCTACTCGTTTTCATCAAGAAACGAGAAGGATACCCCCTTTTGCCCTCCGCCATAGCTACTCGGCCCGTTGTCTGCGCCATGTCTACCTCTGTGCCTGTACCTGGCACATAACCCATCCAGATTCATTCAGTTTCCCAGTTTCTCTCTCTCTTCCTTTTTCTTGCCCCCCCCCGTCACTCTCCGCCTCACTGCGCCTCGACTCTTCAGCCCCCTACTCCCACCGCGCTGTAACTCCGTTTTCACACGAATCCAGCCAGTCTCCCGTCTAGGTTCGCCCTCCCCGTTACCTTGGACCAGGGCTGCACTCCAAGGGCCAGCGCTACGCCTGTCTCTCGCCCCTTCTCCTCCGATCCGACAGCGGCACCCGGCCCGATGAATGCAGCGCTCCACTCCGCCCCGCATGCACCTTGCTCCCAGGCAGTCCGCCCGTCACCCCCTGCCTCTCTGCTGCACCGCACCGCCCGGTCAGCCTTGCGGCTTGCTCTGCCTGCACCTGGCGCCGGGTCCTGTCCCGATCCGTTCCCTCGCCGGGTCCTGTCCTGATCCGTTCCCTCATCCCTCGCTCTCGTTGCACCTCGCCTCCAGTCTGCTCCTTCACGCCCGTTTCTGCCACGCCTGCCAGCTCTACCCCACTTCGCCGACCGCCCTCTGCTCCGCCCGCCACTTTCCAACCGGCCCGCTGCTGTCAAACGCTTGACCTTTCACTGCGTGGTCCAACAGTCCCCGCCTCTCAAGAAACTCTGGTTGTCGGTCCGCCCTCGTTTTATAGCCTTTATCGGTGTCGAGGGCCCATGCCAATCTCCTTTGTATCGTTCCAATTTTAACAGTCGTCCCGAAGGACCGCGCCAGGCCCGCGGAGACAACCAGCCCCAGCCCCCAGTTCCACCATCCGGACTCAGACCCAGGTCTGCATTTCCACAGCTCAATGGTGTGCCCACTGAGCCAGGCTCCCGGGTCCCGCATCACCCACAACTTTGCATCCCGAAACGGGGCGCGGTAACGGTAATAATAAGAACAAGAAAAAAGGAAATAATAAAAGAAAGTTAATATGTGAAATCAAAATAGAGAAGGCAAAATAACACAGATTGTCGGGGGACCCGGCGGGACTGCTAGCATCTCAATTGGGCCCGCCGCTGTGCCCCCTGATAAAACCGAGGGGGATAGCCCCGTCGGGCCCTCAACCCCTCAGGCTTCGCTCCATGCTGCTCCGCTGCTGCTGCGCCGACGCCCCGCTGGCCTCGATCCTCGGACCTTCGTATCGTCAACCCAGTGCCGTAACTTATAGGGCTAAGCCCAAGCCTGAGACTAATATCCGCGGAGTGCCATATAAGACAGTACGACGCTGCGCTCAGGGCCAGGAAAATTGGCCCGAGCCTCATCTCAGCCTACAGCCGTGCGCGCGGCCGCCCGACGTCTGCGCCGACTTACAAAGCTGTACCACGACCGCCACTCGCGCCACTCTGCGTGCCAAGACCTACCGCAGTCACACTGTCGCCTTTTTCGCCGCCGTCGAGGTCGTCCTCCGTGCGCACGCGTAACTCAATCAAACGTACCAACAAAAGAAAAATACCCTTAAATCCTAGTCTAATAAAAAATAAACCAAAAATAAAAATAAAGATAAATAGCGAAACGAACCGACTGGCGCCCGCGTCGGCTTGATAATCAACGATAGAGGCGGAATCACGCGCGCCTCTAACCTGCCCGCCCACACACTCTTTGTTCTAGTCAACCATCCGGCCATCGTAACTACACAGACGCAGCCGCGCCTCGCGCGGTATACTTAACTTTAGGCCAAACTCATTTTTTTGTCATTTGCAAAAACCAGGGCGGATACCCTTGTAAGGGTATTCGCGCCGACAACGGGTGCGCAGCCCGTAGTTCGTTTGTTGATGTGGTTCGAGAAGGGTATGGTAGTGATTATGTTGTATGTATGTTTTGTTGTGTTCGCTATAGACAACTCGAAGAGAGTGTGTGTAGGGTATGTGTGTGTGTGTGTGTGTGTGTGTGTGTGTGTG